TGTAGATAATCTATCTCAACTTAAAAATTTTATTTAACCTCTGTGGACTTTTCTCACTTAAATCTTAACTCTCAAATCTAATATCATTGAGTTTTATATACTATGTGACAAGTATTTCACTTAAAAAGACCAAAAAATCAATCAATTATAAAAGAATTACCTTGGTTTTTTCCATATGAAGAAAAAGATGTGATATAGAGGAAAAGGAATTGTAAATTAGTTGTGGACCTTTTAGTATTGGTTGAGGATTTCTTTTTAATTAAATCACTTTCTTCGAGAGGGTATTTTGTTCAAATCACAAATTAAAGTAACTATGTTAAGGAGGTTTTTTGATGGAAGTGTAAAAGATCAGGTGAGTTTTTATGAGACACATTATAGTTGAGAGGTGTTTTCTAAAATTACACCAACATTAAGAGGGGTTATCTATAACACCCCCCATAATAAGGGGTTTTGTCAAACTGAACCAATTGAGTGAGTTTTTTAAGACAATCCCCATAGTTGGGAGAATTTTTAAAAAATTAACTCTTCTTTTAAATATGGCTTATATATAATTTGTCCCTCAAATTTTTAATAATTTAATATTACTCCCTAAAATTATGAGCAATTTTAAAATTTTAATGAAATAACATAGAATCATAAGATATTTAAAATCAAGGAACTAATATCTAAATAAGCTTTACATATTTGCCCTTATAGGCATTCTATTAAATATCAGCCAATATATCAGTGTTAAAAACTTTATCTTGGTAATAATTTTATATTTTTTATTTTGTTTTGTGATTTTTTTAATATATCGATCGTTATTGAAAACATGACCGATATATTTCTTTGAAGATATCAAGAAAATCATGATATTTTTAATTTGATTGTGGGCTCAGGGTCGAATTGTATTTGGGAAATAATCGAAACCCACAAAACCCACAAAAACCATAGTTCTTCTTCCAAATCTCTCCACTCTCGGCTCTCCCAAATCTTAAGCATATGTATTTATAAAACCCCGTAATTTTGAAAATATTTTGGTAAATAACATTAAATGAGTTTTATTATGGTTGATATTATTCTAGGATGAATGAACATGATTATAATACATTTGAGATCGATTAAGTACATATAAATGTGTGTGTGTGTGTGTGTGTGTGTGTGCGTGTGCGTGTGTGTGTGTGTGTGTGTGTGTGTGTAAATGTGTATGAGCATGAACAACTGTTGGCTGAAATCATCATTGGTCGGTCGACCAACCCTAGAAATCGATCGACCGATGGACAGTGATCGGTCGACTGACCCTAGTAATTGGTCGACCGATGGGTGCATAGGTTTTGGGTTTCGAGACGGATCGGTTTGGGCCTGTTTGATCACATATATATAGATTGTATACCCGAATTTCTCTCTTTTCTTCCATCTCTCACGTTCTGAATAGTAACCACCTCCTCTCAAAGTCCTAGAGATCCCTCTTTTGTGTTTGGCGAAGCTTTGAGAAGTAAAAAGACCAAGAATAGGGCGAGATCGGCGGCTTCGATGAGGGAGGATCGAGTTCCTTACATGTGTGGTAGTTCAACACGAAAATTTTGAGGTGAGTTTCATCTCCTCCAATCTCATCCCCATTTTCTTGGGTTTTATTGGATTTTAAAACCTATTTTATGTGTAAAGATCACCCCTTTTTTATCTGTATGACGCAAAGATTTAATCTTTCTGATTTAAAAAGTTACGAAATGAATTTCTTTGATTTGGGTTTAATATTTGAAATAGATCTAACATGAGATTTTGTTAATGTTATTTGTTTTCATGATAAATTTTTAAACATAAATATGTTAGAGTTTTTAGATTTCCCCAAATGTTTATAATTGTATTTTCATGTAGTAAAGTAAACTCTAATTACACTAAATCAAGTTTTATACATGGGTTCTTTTTGAGAAATTTTGATTTTTGTTCATGATAAAGAAAAAACCATGAATTGTGTTTTGTCACCAGCATCGGTCGACTAATCAAAGAAATCGGTCGATCAATTAGTTTGCAGGAAACTAGAGAATTTTCTCTGGTCGGTCGACCGATCTAGGTAATCAGTTGACTGACCGAAACTATCTATGTGTGCATGTTTGTCGTCGCCGGTCGACCGATGTGTTATGTCGGTCGACCGCTTTGAGCTGTTTTGCACAAGTTGTTTTACCTCATGCTTTTGATCGTGAACACGAAGTGAGAGTCGTACGTCGACACATGTGCGAGACTGTGAGAGGACACGTGCTGAATTTGAACACGCACGAGCCTATTGATACGCATAGTCTAAAATTTTGAGCTTGTTATGATATGGAATAACATTGTTTCGTTTTATGGTGATTTTGGATATTTGAGTGGGGTTAGTTGGTGCACCACAATGAGACCGTGGTTGACTACACTCAGAGTGTGTTAGTTTGTATACTGCAATGAGATCACAGTGGACTACACTCCGTTATGCATCATTGTGTTCCGGATTAGGCAGATATGCCTATACTTCGCAGGGTGTTCGAGTAAGGTAATGAATCACAAAATATTACGATGAGTCACATGATATTGTGAGCGCCTACACTCCATACTATTTTCTTTGTAGGGAATTGTACAAAATTGTAAATTTGCTCACGTGTTACCTACCTAGAGGGTAGAGTATAAGGCTATGGTTTGTTATGTACTATGTATCCTAGAAAAGATCTTTTATCGAATATTTATTTTTGTTCCCGCGCCAACTACCCGAGGAAAATGTGAGTCGTTATGATACGATTTGTTATGGACGAGGCTTGGTAATGTATTGTTCCTTATTAATTATTTTATTCATAGGATTTTGGAGTTAATACTTAGCGATCCACAATTTGAGATACATGGTATATATATAAGGGTTTCCTTGTTTGAATTATTTCGCTCGACGTACTCATTCTCATGTTGTGGGTTTCTAAATATTAATTCCTATTAGTTCAGGATATAGTATTTATATATTTATATATGCTATAACTTGTATTTTTATACACCTTACCCCTTTTTCCCTAGGGATGGTGGAGATGTTCTCACTAGCGCTTTGACGCTCGTTATTTTCATCTTTTTTAGGCAGTAAGTCAGGGGTTCGGAGAGTCACAGGCTGACAGAGACTCAGCATAGTTCGTCGTCATTTATTAGTAGATAGTTAGTAGGCACTCCACAATGGATATTTTATTGTTTTCAGTCTTATAGGGATGTACTTCATTTTGGAGGCTGAGTGCCTATATACTTTTCAGTTGACTCTTTTGTATTAGAGATTCATTATCTTTATTTTGGTTTATTAGATGCACTTCTTTTCATTTGTTGGAATATAATTATAAATGTTATTGGATCTCTCCTCTATATTGTGCTCCTTGTATTATCATCTTTACTATATCTGTTTGTACCCTCACTTCTTATATTTGATTCTAATAGAGAGATATTACTATGATAGTGAAACATTTTATTAAACCGTGTTGGCTGCATGGAAGGTTTGACATCTTTGGGTTTACCTTAGACTACAGCCTTGTGTGAAATCAGGGGCGTCACAGTATTGATGCAAATTCTTATGTTTAAAATTTATTAATATGTTAGATTAGATATTACAATGTCATATTATGTATGAATATAATCTTTTATGACACCTAGTATTACATACATATCCTTAATTTTTACAATCTGATATCATGGATTTATTTGTTCAATATTCATTTGATGTCCAATATTTTGTTGTAGTCCTTCCAAAGCCTCTCCTAAAGTTTTCTAAGCGAAATATGTACTTTCATGAAATAATTTAAAATCTTGAGACTCATTCAAAATATGATGCTTTAATTTTTTCACATCTCCTCTACTATATAAATATAAGCTAAGCATCTGGCCTCATATTGTATGATGAGTATTATTTATCAATGGGATCATATACTATTGTTTGTTTTGGATAACAAAAGTTTTAAATCTTTTATTGGCTTAACTGAACTTAAATACCTTATAGTTTACCAAAATTATACTTATATACCTCCACTTGTATCTTTCTGCACTATTTTTTAAATTTTAGATAATGTATCTTTCTCACTTAAATATCCTAATGTTTTCTAAAAGTTAATATTTGTACCTTCTGTCATGTTACCTAAACATAAAAATGCTCTTTGTAATTTTTCTATATGAGTTTCATAGTATAATTTTAGGACAATTCTATATTTTTTTACTCTTTCTATAAATATTTTATCGACATTCAATTATCTATTATTATATTATTATACATTACTAATAATTAATATGATGTATAGTTTTACAATAATGTTGAAAGTTTTAAGGACCAAACTATACAAACTTAAAGTGACATAATATAATTAATTAAGAATGATAATTAATTTAGTTTAGCTAGTATTAGAATGTAATATTAAAAAAGAATATGGGTAATATAGTCCTTGAAAAGTTTTTCCACAACTCCCTCTTTTAAAAGGAGTATGATATGGGTATGCTTGGTACCAAGCATAAAATTTGTGCTTGGTAGTGAGGTGGCATATTATCTTCCACTCATTCAAATGGGGGGACCACATTGGATCTATCAATTGCCATTCCTAGAAGCTCCTGGCAATTTTTCCTCATCGGTAAAAGTTTGGAATGTTGAAGTTTTTTAGTCGTATCCTACGAAGGAAAAGCAGACCTCTTTTTTTTGGAGCTTCTCTTGATCAGGTTGGCGAAGTCCAAAGATTGTTTGGAAGAATTTTGTGGAGCCTCGGGGGAGAAAGTCATCATCTTCAAGTCCGCGCGTATATTTTTCTTAAAAAAATATATCTCAAGGAATCGAATGGAGTGTTCATTACCTTTCTAAAAGATACCACAAATTCTTAAATCTGATTCTTCGACTCATGAAACTAGAATTTTGCACCTATCTGATAAATTGGCACCTTATGACTCTGCTGAACATTAATTTTACTACACAGATGCAACCTCCTGCGGTTAAGGGAAAACATCAAAGTGTGGACCCGTACGTCCTACGAAAATAGACAAAACGATTGACATGAAGAAGAAAAATCCAGGCAAACATTATCCAAGGAATTGTAAATTAAATCAATATTAGAATTATGAAAAAAGATACATTTCTATACAATCGTAAGACGAGAAGGAAATAACGAAGGAAAAGAAGATCTATAATATCAGCAACAACGATATTTACTGCTCCCAGTAGCAACAGCGTCACGAGAGCAAATATCTTGTTTCTCTCAGCTCTGTATCACCATCATCTCTATCAAATGAGGGATCGATCCAATCTGGATTTCTTAGAGGAATAAACTTTGCATGATCAAAAACATTCTCTCTAAAGCCCGTGGTCCTTGAAGATACCATAGGCATTACAAACACCGAAGACGCACCGAGCGCCTCGTCTCCTAATCCCACAGAAAGAGAGCAAGCCGCCTGCAAGAAAAGACCAATTCATGCATAATTAAGATCTAGGTTTTGTAGCGACTAAAGTAACTCTTCCTTGTCAACAGACCTTGGCTTTCAGTATCATAGGTTTAGTTTTTGTCACCATTGTCTTCATAAATGATTTCACATCATTCAATCCACTTTCTTCCGTCGGCAGAGTAGAAAGCCTGCAATTTATTTAAAATAACATAATTATCATAGAATGCACATGTCAAAAATAGCCATAAATAAGAGAGAGGGAATAACGAGCATCATGGATTGACCTGTTTGCATCAGTCGGAAGGCTTTGAGTTGTAGAATGCAGAGGTGAACCTTTTGTTTCACCTCCTGATATTTTCCAGAATATTAGCCAGACCTTACACAACAATAGAGTGTCTAAAAAGATTAAAAGCATCATGCCATAGGACCAATACCTTTTGAGTCATCAGGTGCTAACAAGGAAATGCCTACAAAGACAAATGCCATTCCCAGTATAAACATCATTGTTCTCAATGCATCAAATACCTGCCAAAGCAGTTCCAGTTATCACCATTTGTAAATAGATCGTATAAGAGTGCATCAGTTTGTATTGAGCATGTTAAAATGTGTATCGGTGCTACATGAGGGGATGGGAGGAGCGTAAATGCTGGCTCACCTGATATTCCTGGAAATATATGAATCCTGTACATATAGAGAAAAAAGTCCACGCTATCTGAAACATGGGTACTATAAGAATTGCATCAAACATAGAGAGTCCTTCATTCAATCTGGCCATCTGCGTGAGGAAAAAGATCAATTAGATGTAAGTGAATAGCTCTTTGGCTATTTACAGCAATTAAAATGATATATAACCAATCAAATCTAGTTTTGATGTTGTTGCAGCATATATACCCAAAACCCTGCTGTGCTAAAGAACAGAAGCAGCATGGAGTACGTAAACCAGCTATGAAACTGATAATTGCTGCTCATTGTAAGCCTCAGCATGTTTGACCTGGCCAAGAACACCCAAAAAACCAGAGAGAAAAGTGCATGTAAGAACCCATACAAGATAACAAAAAGATCTCAATGGAATTATAACTAGTTTTGTGGAGTATTTTCACAATTAATCAACTTACAGTGATTTGGCAAACAATACAGAACAGGAACCCACAGCACCGGATACTACGGCATAGGTAAATGGCAGTGACATACGCCAATACGGGCTTAAATCATGCCCAGAAGCTGATAGGTAAATTGCTCCTTTCCTGTTAGTTTCACATCAGCATCATACAAATTACTAATAATCACCCATTGAGTATGATGTAAGGAAAAATAAAGTTGCCAAGCAGTGTAAAAAAAACTTTTTTTTCCTATAGCCAGGTCTATTTGACATGAAGAGAATATATAATTATTCCTCACCTATAAATATAATGATTGCTCACAACAATCAGCATCAAAATCAGGCAGTAAAGAAGGAATACAAGATTGCTATACTTCTCCCACAACTGCTTTGGCGTATAAACTGATAAGAGAGTGATTCAACTATCAGTTAGTTTCTTCCTTAGCATCACTGTCTCTGATGCTTTAATAGCATGGAAATAAATTAAATTCATAATCACCAAGTCAAAGTAAATATAATAACAACAGTAAGGCATTTATTATTAATGTCTAAGGATAATAATGATAAGAGTATAGACATGGGTGTGAAGGCCATAGTCTGACACAGTCAGAGAATCCTGCGAGCCCTTCAAAATCCAGACACAAGGATTTTGTGCACATGTGTGTCTTTAAGTATATGTGCACTCAAGTATAATCACATTTATTAATTGCTGTTCATAACAAAAGGACATAATAAATTAAAACAATCTCAAAACAGTTAGCTTTTCGTCAAGGGGTAAAACATACTTACATACTGCACATTTTTTTGAGATGAAAAGGGTTTACACATTTGTAATTGTTGTGCATGGATCGGGGTACTATGTCCAACCATGGTGGACGAGCTGTTTTTTGGTTGAAATGTCCCCCATACCATATAGTAGGTTAAGGTTACTATGTGAATCCTCATCCTGCTCCATTCACTTTGAAAGGCAACATCCTCTTCTTAAAAGAGCTTGCTATTTGTTTGATCTTTATATGATACTCCTTTTGATTTTTCCCTTGTAAACTACCTTGTTCCACCCAAAATTCTCTACACATCTATTTATTTTCCATTCATGCATATTTCCAAAGAAATCTTCTTTTCACTTTCTAGATAGAATAAACTTGTCTATCCACATGTATGCTTGAAAAGTAATTTTATCTTTGATTAGCTATTGTCTAATTGCTATATATACTATTGGTGGTATCACTTTAGTCCATATCAACTATTTTGTGGCTATTCAACTATCATTATAGATTCCTTTGAATGAGATCATAAGTTTCCTACATATAGATTTCTTCGAGAATTCCTCAAACTAAATCATCTACATGCACTCAATGTTTTATTTTTCTGATGTACAATCCTAGTTAAAGTGCCAATTAGAGACATGTTAAGAATATCTCTTTTCGTGTTACCTCTCAAACATTCTTTTAAGATCCTATATTAATACAACAATACGTGCTAATGTTTTCACTTTTGTTTAAAGCAAAACTCCACTTAATTTACAGCTTTTTCTGGATCAGTTAACCATTTAGTTGCTCACAACCATCATCTAATCTCTGTTTCACTACTTCATTCACGTCCACGTAATTCTATAAATTGTCTCTATTTTATACATAGCTACTCAAGTTACACGTACAATCATGAACTAGCTATTTTGCTTCACTATTTACTTGCATAAGGAACAAACCATCATTTATTGGCACTACAGTTGAGATGTGGCTGTTCAGATTGGAAGGATGCTATAGTACACTTTTGCTCACTCGTATTGAACTAAAGCAGCATGTGTGCACACGCGCAAGCGCTCGTGCGTGCGTGCATGCGATCGCGCGCCTATGTACGTCACTTCGCGTCAACACCCTAGCCATGCAACCTTTCTTAGTAAGCATTTCCCCAGATAATGCCCACACAATATGTCTAGATGAGACGTTTGGCTTTGAATATTATATTAGTGTCCTACCTCTTAGCTTTTGCATAAAGTAATTAACAACACTGCAGTAAAGAACTCAGAGTAAAAAGAAGGAAAATGGCTCGTTTTAGAAACCCACCATCAAAATCATTCAGTTCCTCCTTACATGTGTGGGCTCTCATGTATCAAGTAGTGTCTGGTGTCTTCCATGTGGGAAGTGCTTTTTGGATGCTCAATTTCAATAGTAGTGTCTGGTGTCTTCCCATGTATCAAGTAGGGTCTGACATCTATTCTTATGTTTTTGGATAATTGTTTCCAACCCGACATGAAATGATTTATTTCCTAAAGCATAATGTCACAGAAGTCTTACAAAATTTATCCACTTTACCGGTACCTAAAGAGTCCTACGTTTGAGTTTGGAACAGTCAAGGATATTAAAGCAACAGATTTCTCATAACGCCGGCGTGTTTTCCAAAAATTATTAAAATTAAAAGAAAGAACAGAAAGTTCAATCAAAAGCTAATTCTAACTACAGTAATTATATACATAAGCAGTGGAAGGTTAAACTATACCAGGTGACTGATGATTTCCAAAAGACACTAAGAAAATATTGCCCAAAACAATAAAAGTTGTGGCTATGACAACCCTGCAAAGGAAGAGCAGAATGGTTATAATGTGTCTATGTAAATACAAGTCTGATTAGGAAAAATGTTTATAATATTTTCATATAAAGATGTAACATACTTGATTGTAACCGTCTTGCTCAATACAAAGTAAGCAAATGCAATATTAGATATAAATTGAACCGACCCCAGTGCTGCAAGCAAGGACTGCAATTAAAAATCAAATGAAAGCCTAATTAGGGACATGGTAAATATCACTTTATGAATCCATTATCTATAGACAGCTTTTAGAAAATAACCCAAGCTAGCAGTTAGATGAACTGATATAAATTTAGCAAGACAATGAATCATTTTGAAGGACCCATTATCTAATGTTTTTACAGAATAACAGGAAACTAGTTACATCTGTAGGCACTGCTTTTCTCATAAAGAAAGTTATGTGCCCCACAGCACAGTTCATCAGGACTCAAACCATAAAATATCATCATTCCTCTAACTTGCACATCACCAATCTGCCTTGATAGTTTGTTTAAATACTAAATTGTATTCTAATCAATCTATAAAATCAGCCAAAACTTACAGTGCAGAAAGGCATGAGCGCTCAAGTCTCATGACCATTTTCACACAATTATACTCTCTGCATAATCATTAAATTGAACAAAAAGTAAAGAGGAAACCATGTAACTGGAAAACATTTCGATATAGCATGACAAATGAAGACATCAGTTGTATGCCACATGCAGAGTGACGGGGATGAAAAAGTCAAAAAGAGTTTATTTTATAGGATTTTAGTATTTAGATTCTTCATTTTTTATTTGATGAGTATCAATGTCTTTCGGTATTTTCATTTGATATTGTGGGATTTCTTTTGGTATTTTTGGGGTTGTCTAAAGTTTATTTTTTCCAGTTCAATAATTTTCAATCTGGCCCTATTTACTCATCACATAGCCCAATTTCATATTCACAACAATGTTATAGTCAAAAAACAAGAGATGCTAAGAAGTTTAACCTGTGCAGCATATCCAAATGAAAGGAAGTTAAGGCAATTCCCCAGAGCAAAAAAGAAAATACCTGCATATAAATAAAGAATATGAAGCAAAGCAACTTAAGGTGCTGCCTATAAAGTATAACACTCAAGATCAGTAATTAACCACACAATAAAATGCAAAAGAAATGTACCAACTCTCCAAGTATGAAAATGTATGATAGATTTTGAATAAAACTTGCTTTCTAGTCCATCATTGCTAAGAGTAGAAAGCTTCTCTCGCTGTAGAAATCAAAAAGGAAACCAAATGAAACATGCTGGCAGGCACCTATAAACATTAAGAAATTTATGCACTAATTATATCCAATTGTGAACATTCTTACTGCTATTTATCTCATGAAGAAAAGAACATCCATTCATAATCAAGAGAACTGGTTATTGTGTGCTAGATAACACTAATCAATACTAGCAACAGAGAAACAATATGTGATAATTATATCCAATATAAAAAAATTCTACCATTATCAATACAATTGACTAATGTATGCTACATAATACTAATATACAGGAAAGAAGTTGCATAGCAAACTTCAAATGTGCAAAGCATAGACTATATTGGTTTAGGCAAAGACATATGCTTATTTGCATTGTACCTATTCACTAATTCTTAAAAGCAAGTCACTAAGAAGAGGCACCCAAACAATATTTCACTTAGTGAAAACTCATGATGGGTAGGACCCGGAGTCTTTATACAGTGTTGAAGAAAACAAGAAACCAAATTCCTAAGCATCCTTTTGCCCTTACCGAGATACAAACCCACAATCTCCCCAGTATAACACAAACACGTTGTAAAACCAGATCAGAAAGAAAATTTAGAATAAATATCACACGCTGCTGAGAAAGTTAAAAAGGGTTTATATATAATGAAAACACCAGATGGCCCAAACCTGCTAATATTACTTCAACCTATGAAAAATAAAGCATTGTAGGCTACAAGATCTCAAAATAACGGCATTGTGTGCGACAAAATCAGTTGTTACTAAATCAATGGAGAATGATGTCCGTAATTGTAACATTCTAGTGAAATATGTTGGTGGTAGAGAAACCAAGTAAGCAGTCATGGGTGGAACCTAGGAACAGGATGACAGATTGCTAACAGAATTCATGATTTCCCTCTAGCTATCAAATTTACAAATTTGTGGCTTATCCTCTATAACAGTGCACATCAGAGTGGCAACACGAAATGATGCTTCATGTATATTGTGGCATTGATATTCAACAAAACAGTAAATAAGATGGAAGGGAGTATATTCTTTATGGTTGTCATTTAAGCAAGAAGCAAGAAGGTTGAATATGGAACAAAATAAACTAGAAAATATATTATAATGTCTGGAGTAAAAGAAGGAAACACACATACACTATGACTGTAAGGAAAGAGAAGTACCTGATCATGACCCAATTTTAGAAGATTTGTCCCAAAATTTATGGCAATGCTGCCAATTATGTTGATCAATGCTCCAATAACCCAATCGCCCATCAGTCACAAATTGTTTAAGAGAAGCAACAGCTTGTGCATATTAACAAAAACCAACTTTTAACATGTGCAGCTAATGATGATCTTACAGCGTCATGTCAGGAGAAGGCTATGAAGAGAGTGCTTCTCAAGCCACTTACTACTATGCCTAATTTACAAGCCAAATGGTTTCTCTTACTTATGTTTAAGTGAGACAAGCACCTGCACAGTTGTAAAGGTAGTAATTACAAAAGCTTTTGCATGTAACGTTCTTGACTTTAAATCTCAGAGTATGACATGAGTTTAAACTGAAAGAGCCATTAATTCATGAAATAAAGCAGACATTTTATCCATTATGGAAAGAACAAATAAATGAAAGGTATATCAAGGCAAAAGTTGGAACTTGGAAGCAATATAGTGCAGTTCTGATAGATTATCATAAATTAGCATTAAGCTGAACTTGAATGTTGAAGATGGATGAGAGTCATATACTAATTTACAGTGATGATTCTTCATCTGTAATCGCGTTCCTTAGTCGTCTTAGTTAACTTGTTCCAAGAAGCAAATTTTTCATGCTATGTTAACTTCTCTTTGTCTCAGTTTATCTATTCTTTTGTCAATCCCTCATAAAGTGTTAATCTTGATAGTTTTTATATGTATATTCTCAATCTTCATTTCTAAGAATTGAATTGATCTCTGGAATGATGAGAAGGGTGTTTTCCAATATTTTCCTCACTTTTTGAACACTTCTTTCATCTATTCTTTAGATATGCATTTACATTCAGTTTATACTAAATATTATATTCAAGTGGAAAAATATAGCAGAGCAATGAGTCATATATAGCATAGTCTCAACATAAGAAGCGAGGCACTAACCTACCTGTTAAAGAAGACAGAGAACTAAGATTTATTCTTACAAAAATCAGCAAGATGTATGAGAAGTTAACTTTTAGCATACACATAATGCTATCTGACATTATATCGTTACGGGGTGGATGGGTGGGTGGGGGTGTGAGTGTGTGTGTGTGTCGGACAAATTGGACTATAAATGTATATTGGTTTTTAAACCAGTTATAACAGCATTTAGGTGCCCGGAGTCACCTAGAGGCACTGAAGTACATAGGTGCATTGTTGAGGTGACACGCATCCAAATCCTAACATCTAAGATCATCAACATAAGCAGACAACGATTGATAGGCAGGATGTGCATGACGCCAACAATGAAGCCATAAATCAGCAACCATTATAGACTCGTGCCCGCGCACATATAGCCATACAAATAGTCATGTTGTCTGTGTCCTCATGTCCTACTTCTAAGAAATGACATGATCGTGCTCATATCCATGCTTCCCACATTAGCAAAAAAAAAAGTGTCCTAGTTACATCACATTTCAGCCTTAAGTTGCGATAACATCAATAATCTATTTTCTTATGTCTCTTAGCTCAAACTTGAGATGATTCTAGAAACTGACCATTTCAAGTTTATCTAGCAATTAAAACAACATTCACATCACATGCATCCACAAGTAACCCTCACGTCGCCCATATCATAGCAAATCTTTGCTTGCACATCTTCATTCTAGATAGGGCATGGATCATTCACAAGCATTTTCGCAACAGAAATGCATTAACATTACGTACAACAATGCTCAATAATTTAAGCTGACAACACGAGTATCTCCCAGATCTGACTCCAAACTAGAATTATCGTCTTTCCCAGAAATGTACACAAATTACCTTTATTCGATCAGAAGTTAACGATCAGATCCACTTCTATGAAAATGAACAAAAAAACTTGAATAAAGAAATCGAGATTTCAAATATTACCCCAAAATTCGTGGCTTCGAGCTGGAGAAAACGAGGAGACGAAGAAAAAAGGAGCCGTCTTTTTTTTTTTTTGCAAGCTGGTCGGTGATGATTAAATCGCCGGGAAAGGAGTTGGGGTTGCGTTAGAATTCAGGGAGCTTCGTAGCACACCCACCGACTGCTCCTGGTTGTTTGGGTGGATTCTCCTGGTCAAAATCTGAGAAGTTGACGCTTCTTCATTTTCTTGTTTTCCTGGATTTTGATTACTTTTTGGTGGTAAAATGTTAAGGGTTATTTAGACATTAGTCTCTTATCTTTAGTATTTTGTTACTAGTCCCTCAAATCCTTGTACCTTCTATATTAGTCCCTAAAATCTTCTATGTGTTGATATTAATCCCTCCGTTAGATAATCTTATATGTCAAAATCTCATAACCATGGTTGGGTTTGGGTTAATCATGGATGGGTAATTATTGAATTACCTTTTTGAATCAAATTTGCCTCCAAAATACATCTCTCCTCTCCACCCACCCATCGTCTCTCATCACTCTCAATATGTCAATGGCAATTTGAAACACATCTTCTCTCTCTACAATTTTATTAAGCTTCGCCAAAGTGATCACAAGTGAAAAAATAAATCACATTCAACTTAAAGTAATAACGAAGTGCCCTCAAGGAAGCTCTCTTGTAAATTAAAGATTGTTGGAGATCACATGAACAAAGAAGCTAATTGGAAAGAAATAAACTTAGTAGTGATGTGATCACATGACCAACCGAAGGTGGAAGTTGAAACCTCACAAATCGTTAAGCCCAAGCATCCAAATACATATATTTTTCTCTAGAAATTAATCGTCATGGCTCACAACTGAAAACCATTAAAAAAATAAATCGCATCAATCTTATTACTTCACACACCCCCCCCCCACACTACCTCTCCCCTCCCTGTCTGCAGCCCGCAAATGCGCAGAAGCATGAGCGCGTAATGATCCAAACCCTCCGAACATGGTTAACTCCTAACCTAACACTCTTGAAATCATGGTTAACTCCTAACCTAACACTCTCAATTATCAAAATACCACTTGAAGCATTGGGGAAGCTCAAAAATGGATTGAGGATATTTTTTGCAGAGAATGTACTGTTTTATGAGTTTTGGATCTTAGTTAGTTGGTTTTGAAATAAAATCCGTTAAGAAATAGGTTGGTTAAACTTAACTAAAGGTATAACTGGGGTTTCCCCCTCAAAACACTAGATTTGAGGGAGTATTCTCTTCAGATCTAATGTCAGTTGACTTGAGGCACGCCAATACCGCGATGAAACACCCACCCACACCCCACCCCCCACCCCCCACCCCCCAAAAAAAAACAAGGCCTGAGGGATGGATGTATGAGCAATTTCAAAACTTTGAGGTACTAATATGGAATTATTGAAGTTTTGAGGGATTAATATCTTAGTACATATCTTTTAGCAAATTGATTTCTTATGATTTTGTATTTTTTTTAATGTTTACACAACTAGAAAAATAGTAAATTAAACTACAGAATAATCATAACTTACTACAACCAAACAAACAAACAAAAATAGAACTATTTGTTTGAAGTAAATGTAAGTTATATATAATAGTTAGGGAAAGTGAATCGCAGTTTTTAGAAGAAAATTTATATTGTTGATGATGAGAAAACTAGCATGAATGTATGATTATCTATAAAATCATCATTACTTCATAGCTTTCAAAGTTTACACAATTCTTTTTGCTAGTCAATAATTATTACAATTTCGAATCTGTTTGATAAAATATAACAGGTGCCACAGGCCCAAGTCCAAAGACGACAAGTTCACATCGTCTCAAGGAGGGCCTACAAGGACTCATCATCTACTATTTTCAGCTCAAATAGGAATTCCAAACATTATAGGACGTGGTGGTAACATAGAACTATAAGCATATGAGGAAATTGTTAGTGCGAGATATGTAATGGTTAAAAAATTGAAATGTACGTGTCCTATACACTATAAATACGCCCAAATTCCGACAATCTCAGATGTGTAACTATATCAACTGATTGCCGTCAAATATGCGGTATATCCTAGTGAATAGAAATCATATCAGAACACTCGCATGCGAATAGATACTCTGTATTGAAGATATTATTTGATTCTGAAATATGTAGGGATTCTGTTAGATACTAGATATTATATGTAGAAATTTAATTGATACTCTCTCTCTCTCTCTTGTAATCCCTCTATACATATACACATGTATGTTGATTAATGAAATATACAGAAATCCATTTGTTTCTCCAAATAATATGCTATCAGAGCCTTGAAACCCTAGCCGCCGTCACTCCTTGTTCTTTCCGGCCACTCTCAACCTATTTTTTCGGCCATCATCAACTAGTTTTTCGGGCCATCGTCGTTGAGCACTCTCATGCCGCCGTCTTCTTTGCTCCGAGTTTCAGGCTTCAGTTCTCCGCCACCATGCCTACATCCTCTTCTTCCTCTTCCACTGGTGCGTTAACCAACCCACCACCACCACCATCACCGGTTGCTCAAAACACCCGTCACTACCTCTCCATCAAACTCAACCCCCACACCTACCTCTACTGAAAAACACAGATCTCTCCCTTCCCTAATGGGATACATCAACGGATCCGTTCCACCACCACCCACCCATGTTACTTCCGCCAACCAATCCACCCCAAAAAATAAACACTGAGTTTCTGACTTGACAGCAACAAGATCAACTGGTTGTCTCTATTCTACTTTCTACCCTTTTTGAGGAAGCTTTCCCACTCATCGTCGGCCTCATGACATCATCTGAGATATGGCATTCATTGGCGTGTTCCTATGCGTCTCCTTCGAATACCCGAATTCTTCAACTACATGAAAGCCTTCATGAACTCAAACAACGGGATCTCTCCATCACTGCCTACCTATGACTTGCTAAAAATATTTCTGTTTCTATTGCTGCAGTTGGGCGTCTGATCTCTACTGCGGACCTAAATGTATACATCTTTAAGGGTCGCCATACCGAGTACCGAGATTTTGCTACGACCCTTAATGCCCGTCCAGAGACCGTTTCCTTTGAAGATTTGCACGCTCTTCTTCTCAATCATGAATACGTTCATGGCTGCCCTAATGTTGATGCTATCTCCCCTATGGCGCATCTCACCAGCACACAACTTCAGCTCTTAACTGCTTGACTTTTGCCTGCCGGGTATAATTCAGGCAACCTACAAATCCACGGGCTAGCAACTATTAGCACCAGGCGTGATGACCTCTGGACAATAGTTGGGCATGCCAGGGCTCAGTCTGGCAGCCCCTGGGCTCGGCCAGGCTGCACCTAGCCACGGCTGTAGGCGTCTAAAAATACCTATGGGTGTCCGCACACAGCTCGAGATGGAGAGAAGACGATGAACGTCGTTATCCGAGTCTAAGAGGATTATCTGTCGTCGACAAGCGCATGAAGCGAAACGACGAACCAAGTGGCACGCGCACATCAATCAACACGTGCGCATCAATCAGTTCGCGAGCGTTAATCAACACATGTGCATCAGTCAACGCGTGCATGTCAATCAGTTCGCGCGTCAATCAGTTTGTGCGCATCGGTCAACACGCGTGCATCAATCAAAACACGCGTATATCAACCAACGCGCGTTCGACAGTCAATTCCACAACGAAGTGTGCAAGTCAACAAGATGGTCAAACACGCAAAACGGTGGAAAATACAAGTCTCGGAAGAGTCGGAAAACCAAAAGAAAGTGTCAGGCTTCGGAACCCGCGCCGATGCGGGACGGCCGAAACCGACCCGCACCAGCGCGGGTCGGCCGAAACCGACCCGCACCAACGTGGGTCG